GGATATATCTGTGTTTTCTCATACCTGTGCGTAAAATTGAAACTAAAGGAGCTACGAGGTCCCAAAGTCGTGTCAGTAATGTCAGTAAAGAGATTCTTTAAAGGTCTTTAATTTTTAAAAGTGCTTTTTCTTTAACACATTACATAAAAAAAGAATTTTTCAATTAAAAAATACCTTTCTGTTGTCAGAATTTTTGCATCACGAAAAATGTTTTTCTTTTGCGTTATTGAGCCTATACATAATGCATACAATAATCTTTTTAACTGTTATATGTTATAAAAAAACCGCATACATGAATTCAAAATATTTCAAACTTAAACTATTAAGTCCAAAAGACCTCTTAGTTTGAAATATGAAAACTACAAGACCAGGTTACGAAGATAAACCAGGTTACGAAGATAAAAGGATAACAAATTTGTATCTGTGGCGAGTGCAGTTCAGTTTATTTTGTGATTGTGATTATTGTTTCAAGATTAAGAATCATGCTTGTAAAAACCAGGTTGACAAATGAATGCCGCAAATAATTTCAAAGCTTAAAGACGACCTTTAAGTCGTCTTTCTTCTGTCAAACTTCCTGGGACACCCAGTATCATACAGAGAGTCAGAACCATTGTTCTCCTCCATATTAGATGTTATAGACAAATGCCGATTACTTCTAATAAATCATTTGGCCGAAAAGTTTCAAAATACCAAACAAAAACAGCCGTATTAGTGATAAAATTATAAGCCAATTTTATCAGTTTAACAGAATAATAAGGAAAAGAAGCTTTTTTTTTATTCCAATTAAATTCTGCATATTAGAGTATAAAAAAAAACAAGAAACTTAACAAATTTCAACACCATCAGAGATTCAGCGGTTAGTAAGTTCTTAAAAATTAGTCTTCTGACTTATGGATAAAAAATTAACAAAAATAAGTCCTCATTAAAGAATTATAAGGGTGTATTTTGTAATTTCTCTGTGTAATCATATTGTCCGCAAATTTAGCAAATATCCGTACTTTTTATTGTAATATAATTCTTTCAAATTTTATTTTAATTTATTATGTATTTTTTTATCCAAAGCTTTAAAGGCCCCAAGACTGAGGCGTTCAAGTTTCTTTTGATCAAATTTGAAATGTATAAAATGATTTTCCTGCAGGCGAAATCTTTAGAATAAATTCAAACATCCAAAGAGGTGGAGAGATGGTGGGGGGGCTTTCTTGGAACAATCTGAAACACTTTTAGTTTCAAGCTTGGTCAAAAATGAAATCTCAAAATAGTTTACAACATTTTAAATTGTTAAAATAGTTTACAACATTTTTAATGATTCACAATAATTAAAAATAGTTAACAACATTTGAAAAAAAATACAATTAGTGCATTTTCACTCTTAAAACCATTTTCATTCATCTATGTAAGATTTTTTTTTCTATATTTCGCTTTTTGTTTGTTTGTTTGCTTGGTAACAAAGTTGATCAGTCAAAGGTTTAAGGATACCGTTATGAATCAGAGATGTACTTCTTTAAATGGAAGGTCATTTGAAATTGTGCGTACAGTCCCTTCAAGGTCCGACACTATTTTTGATTATTTCACCGATACAACCTGAATATATTTAACTAATTTCATACTATTATATTGCGTAGTTTTTAAGTGAGTTGATGTTTCCCACATTACCACCCTGGTCCAACCATGGGGCTAGTTGCGTTCATATTCTTCAAATTAATTTAATTGTGTTTTATTTTATAATTTAACTATCTTCAAACTCGGTTATAACAGAGTTGTCGTCTTATTTTACATTTAAAGAGCATCCGCCGAGAACAGGTATAAATGAGGAAAACTACTTTATGTTTAATTGGTACAATTGGGATCGAAAGTCACAGCTTGCTGGTATAAATACCAAAGTGTTATATATCGCCATATTTTCTTCCTCAACTAACATTATCCATATGTCTTGACCTATCACCTCTTCATATAAACTCATCTTACAAAGGAACTGATTACTGGCCAAAACTGTAATTTTTTATTCGCTATTTCTATCAACCTGATGGTATAGACCTTTTAAATTTTGAACTAGAACAAATCTAAGTTTTAAATATCAAACATATACGACATCACCAGAGTACAAAGATATAGACGTGTCTAGTGGTCAATTATTTTTAGGACGGAACACATTCAAATAGACTAATCGTATGTTGTGGACCCAGCGCGGTTTATTGAAAAAATGTAGGCTGGCTGGATACATGTCCCCTTCGTTTCGGTTAAATCCTTGCTTATTCTTTAAATTTTATAAGTTTTCAATAGAAACTATTGATTCTTTCTAAAATATTCAATTATGTGTTCATATAAATTTATTCATAAAATCAAAACTTCATTTCATCATTTCAGACAAAATTGGGAAAATATTTTGAATTTTTGAGCAAACATATTGTTAAAATCTTTTAAATGATATGATTCACGTCAAACTATATAAATTTCACGTAAAATTTGACTTTTTTGTTTCCAATCATAACTCCTGAGATTAAAGACATATTGTTTGAAATTTATAAAACATAACCAAATAAATTTGTTTTCTGCAAACCTAGAGGAGCTACGAGGTCATAAAGTCGCTTAAATTTCATATTTTCCTTTTTTCTAAAGGGTAAGTAAATATTTTTCTGGACTTTTGAATATCGTTCTAGTCGNTGAGAAGGAGATCACAAACCTCAACTCCCTGAAGCTTAACATCAAGCAGAGGTTGGATGAGAAGGAGATCACAAACCTCAACTCCCTGAAGCTTAACATCAAGAAGATATCGAGGAAACTTGACTGTGACAAGATTGTTTTGTGTAGAAAGTTATTTATCTATTCTTAATACAGAGGGAACCTAAACAAAGAATTGATTGTCGTCTTCTATCATTCATTTTGATTATGATACCTTTCTTTTGAGATTTTGTAATTTGAGATTTATCTATTTTTAAAATTCTACCTTGAACGTTTTCAGAAATGTATTTGTAATACAGAAATAACAATTACAATTCGACAATTATCTGGTTACCACTGTACAGTGCACATTGTACTATGTACATTGCATTGTACATGTATTTACGAAATTTGAATAACGAAGGTGTGTCTTCTCAGAGTTGCAGCCTTCATAACTTTAATTTTAAAATATGGGTTGTCCTCCAAAACTAGACGGACATGAACAAAAAAAAAAAAAATCTGTCAAATTATGGAAAACTTGCAAATTGCTTTAATCTGTCATGTAAAGTCAACAGGGCATAAAACCAAAAATTTAAATTTCAAAAAGTATAATACGGTAAAAAGTGTGAAATAGAGAATACAAAAAAGTCTGTATGAGTAAAAATGATCTCGAAAAAAAATCTTTGAAAAAAACACAGTCTACAACTCGATTTTTTCTTTTTAATAATTAAAGTGATGGGTTGCCAGTTAATATCCAATTTTAGCTTAGTAACCAATTTTAAACAAAAGCAAAATATTAATGCTATATATTATGTTTCAAATATTTTGAAAAAAATCACATTTTCTTGATAAAGGAATTGAGTTTTTGCCACAAACTCTGATTTCCTAATTAATAGGAAGGACAGAGTTTGCTGGAAGAAGCACATCCCGATCGTTAGTGCTATGGTCAGCACCTCCCGGCTTATCATGCCTAACAACTGGCTCAATCAAAGAAACTACTCAGAAACTTTCAATACTTTCCTAAAATGATCATCCTAGGTTACTTGGGTCTCGAGCATAAATGGAAATTAAAATAAAGAACGAGCCAGTTTGTTAAATTTTCTATTATTTAAATAAGATAAAAATAGTTTAGGTAAAAATATTTGAATCCTAAACAATAAGGATATAAAACCATTCAGTCGTTGATGAAGTGATGAACAGACCGGGCTGGAACGGGTTCACCTGTGCAAGAAATTTTTTTTTTAAATTTTATTAATTTTCCAGATTGTGCCCTTCAATAAAGAAACAAATTTTTTAAAAAATAATTTGCAGATTATGCCTTTCATTAATTATTAATTATTATTAATACTTATAGATAAAATAATCTGAGTTTGAAATATCAAAGTTTTGAACCATCAGGTTGCAAAGATATTGGAATCAGAAGATTTGAGTTTGTGGCAGAAACTCAATTCCTTTGCCAAAATACAACTATTGGTTTTTTAGAAATCTAATTTTTATAAAAGACGACTTTTACGTAAGTGCTGGGCCTTGAAAAAAGGAAATATCCGGAATATTTGAAAGGTGCGGGACTGGAGGATTACGGAGAGAAAAATCCTTCTTGAAAAATAATTTTTGGGTCGAAAAATCTATAATCCTTCAAATGATCTAATAAAAATATTTAATGATTATCTCTTATAATTCCTACTTGAAAGTTCAAAATTTTAAATAAAAATTAACGCAAGAAAGGAATTGAGTCTCTGCCAAAAAAAACTTTCTAATCCTTATTTCTAGATATTTGGTGTATATATGGTGTAAATCTTTTATATTTTATACTGGGATTATTTGATCTAAAGGAGCTCATAGTTTAAAATTTCTAAGGTCTAAACTTTTGAATAGATATATGGATTTAAAAATCAGAGTTCATGGCAATTCCTTCATTTTTTTATCTACTCCATAGCTTTAAGTTAAATTGGCGTAAATTACTTATCAGGTTAAATTTAAAGAGAAAAATGTAAATATGAGATAAACAGAGATATGATTAAACATCGTAAATTAGAAGATAACAGCATGGGAGACGTCAGTAGTAAATCACAATGTTCTGCGAACAATTATAAACCTTGTATTATTTCCATTTGATACCGGGTTGAAAGGACTGTGCAGATTTTTTTCTCGTAGATTGATGTTTCCATATTGCGGGGCCACAAAATTTTGATTTTTTTTCCAAATCTTAAAGAACACCCATAAAAGAAAACTATAAAACGACTGAAGACTAAATTTATCCTTCTGATAAACAGAATCAAAGAGTTGTTGGTCTTTATTAAAGTCTTGTCCTTTGTGGGTAACCCTGTATGTGACATATATGTTATTATATCTGATTTAGATAATCGAAGGAATCTAAGAATGCATGTCAATAAAGAAATCCCATCTCATCTTCCAATTCTGTTAGTTCCAGACGGAGTCCTACTTCCAGGTTTATTCTTTTATCTACATTTAAATCATTTAGAAAAATATATTATTACTAGATTTGTAAACTGCTTCGCGCCCGTCGTTTAAATTTTACATAAAAAAGGATTCATATTTATGTTTCCTGTGGCCGGCCAAACAGCTGGACCGAATGGGCTGACATTTTTTGTGGACACTCATAGGTAGCCTGCATGGGGTGTTATAGGCTAAAAAATTTCGATATTTTTTTTCTTCAAAGTTTTTAAAGTTTGACCGCAGATAACCCTTTCATTATAAGGTCATAATGTGAGTTGTCATAAAAAAAAGTGGGACTGATTTGTTCAGCTGTTTTGACGTTTATTTAAAAAAATAAAAAATCAGCCTAAGAACAGACACAGCTGTCTACAAAGATTTATTTGTTTTCTTGCTGTATATTATCATTGAACTGAACTTACTATATTCATTTTAAAAAATCCTATTCTTATGGAAATGACCTAAGACAGATAAGTTAACTTTATTACAACAAATATGACGATGCACTCTTTACATTGGATATTCAATTTTGATAGCTAGGAAACAAGGCATCTCATAAAACTTTGATGGAAAAAGTTACAACTTTCATAAATGGATATTAAAATAATACAATCCAGGACACAATGATAAGAGGAATCGTCTAACATAGAGAAAAAATGTTCTATAACAGTGAAATTTTAGGGAAAGTGCGGGGGGAAAACTAAATTGTTTAATTTTGGGCACCAATACAATCAATGTCATTATAAAATCTTGCATTCTTAACTTTAATCATTGCATAATTATTTAAAGTTTTAACTAATATTTTAATCATCTAAGAAATCATGACAATCATCTAATCCAGGAGCTTCTATGAGGTTTTTGGTAACTTCTCAACCCAACATGACGTTGATCAAATCAGGATTGCTTTCTAAGAGTTCTCTTTCAAGGTTAGAATCAGCTGTGTCATACGAAAATCTATAAAGTCCCCCCCCCCCACAACTTTGCTTTTTTAAATTAGAAAAATTTCAACTCGGGCAGAACCACATGTCTGAACGGAAGAAATCCAAATCGATCTTAAAGGCCAATACTTCATATTTTGTATGACATCTTATGATATGGCAGAACATCATATTTTGCAATAATAGAAAACTTTAAACTTTTAAGAACAACAAAGAGAACAATATAAATGAATGTTGAATAACTATACTAGTGCTGTTATTGGTATTCTACCTTCTGATCCTGGTGAGCTGATAAACAGCACAGACCAGCAGCTTGACCTGGCTAATCAACTTGAGAACAGGGTAGCTACAGCAGCTGAAGTTGTACAGGTAATCATAACACCCTGCGTACGTATACAACAGTGTTAAAAGTCATTTACTATAATTATATAGTACAGTAATCCAGAACTTATGGCCCAGTACAGTACAGTACAGTACATTACAGTACATTACAGTACATTACATTACAGTAGATTACACAGCACATTACAGTACAGTACAGTAAAGAACAGAACACTAAAGTACTGTACATTATAACGAAGTACAGTACTGTATCCTTGCAGCACATTACAGTTACATGTACCGTACAGATTTAAGGATTTATTTTCCAGGTTACTGGAACGAATTGGCCCCGACCTGCTTACAGCCTTCTGGTGACAGGACTGTCCAGGATATGGGTTGACAGGTACTGTACAAATTCACCCAATACAACGCGGTACTTAAATTTAAAAAAATGCGTCGTTTTTGACGATGAATTTTTTTGATTTGACATGTATGAAAAATTCAAAATAGCAAAGTTTGAATTGTCAATAAAGTTTTTAGATAAAAAAAAAAACATTTTTGAAAGCTCATCAGTTTCCCAGGGAAACGAAGATCGCTGTATATTTTTCTCTTGGGAAAATAATGTAAAATTTTTTGCAAAGTTTTTGTGAAAAAAATTCGCACATTTTCATCTCAAAAACCACAAAATTTTGTACAACTTTTAAGGGAAATTGAAAATTTTACTTAACTTTAGTCGTCTTTAATTTCTGATATTACATGCATGGCAAAGAAAGTAAAAATATAACGAGGCTGCACGTCTGACTAGCTTTTCGCAAAGTGGTCTAATTTTCTTGTATCTTAAAAGTTGACGACGATATAAGATAAAGACAATTTTGAATTATAAGTACAAATTTTGCTATATCTCCGTCAATTTTGAAAAAACAAAAATAATAACCTCATTTTGAAAATCTCAAGACCAGGCATTTTCGATATTAGATCTTTGAGCTGGAATACTGCAATAATTGTGTTCATAGAAAAATGCCGCATGGATCGAAGACGATTTAAAACTCGTCATTAAATTCCCATGTAAACTGGAGTTGCAAATAATTATTACCAAATGCCCTTCTTTAACGGAAACTTCTTGTCGTTTCATCGTTTTCAATATATTTTCCAATGTTTAGGATAATCCAAGATACTCCGTATCTAGTTGGATCTGTAACCTTGAGAAATGATTTTACTGAACCCAACCTATCCAACTCATCCTTCATACAGGAGAGGTAAATTCCATACAGTGACATTATAGTTGTGATCTTCAGTTTTCTATATATAAAAAATGTACGAAAACTTTTCTGATTCTGTTGTTGAATAAATATAATAGTAAACTTTTTTTTTGATGGAACATTTTTCATCTTTCACACAAAATTTTTGACCTATTTGGTTCAGCCGTTTTTTGCTTGGATTGTAAAAAGCAAACCAACAGCGAAGGCAAATGTCACAAGTATTTTACAAAGTTACATTCGCTAATTTTTCAATTTACCTTCGATGAAACTGTTACACAAAAAAAAACAATTTAATTAAAATTGGCATACTTTTACATCTACTTCATAAGATTAAAAAGTGCTTAAGAATGATAAGATATATCTTGCACACCCAAAACTGAAAAGATTTTATTTGGAATTGAATTTTATCAAAATAAAGAGAGTTGTAATAAAGTTCATAAAAGAATATAGTAAAATTTCACTACAACAGTAAAGAAATGTTCAAACTTTCAGTTTCATTTTCATGAATGAAATGCTGTCCGTAGGAATCTGGGAAATTACTTAAGATTGTTGCAATATGAAAATATGAATTTAATCCTCATAATCTTCTCTTAAACAGTTCTATTAAACTAATATTAAATACTTTGAGAATAGTTCCACATGTTTTCCAGTCATAACTGAATTTTCTTCATAATTAACTAACAAGTAAAGAAACTGAGTTTATGCCACAAACTCAAATTTCCAGATCCCCATATCTTTGCAACCTAACGGTGTGAACCTTTGATATTTCAAACTAAGATCATTTGATCTAGTTTGAAATATCTAAGGCCTACGACATTGAAATGCAAAGATATAGGGATTAGAACATCAGAGTTTGTTACAAAAATTCAGTTCCTTCATTTATAAATTTAACAAAAATAATAAATTGAGAATTTTATCGCAGCAAATTCAAGTGGTACTTTAAACAACAACTAAATTATGATGTAAAGATGTTAATTGAGATATGATTTATTTATAAAAGTCTACTTTAGATTAAACAAATTTAAAGAGCTTTCTTTTCAACTACTAGAGTTAATGGACACTAGCTTACCAACAGTTTCAAGGTAACCATGCAGATACTTTTTTATCTGTAAAATCTCCCGGCCCCCCTTACAAGAATAATTATCCCATATATAGAATCCTTCTAAGAACCTTCCCGAGTAGTCTCTCCGAAGATTAAAAAATATGTCATACTCATAATTTTTAACTATAATGATTTAATTTAATTAAATTTTACAATATTTTTAAATTTCAATATGATATCAGATGGAAACATTTTAAGACTTCTATATTTCTGGTTTTCATTCTTTCTTCTTGATCGTCCATTTCTTGTCCATCCTTCAATCATACTTTGGCTAATTTTGAAAATAAAAATTAATGAATTTTTTGGATGTTTTCTGCAGCTAGCCAAATTGCAGAGGCAGAACTATTTTTTAGAGTCCTGTATCTATATTCTGAGAGTGGCAAGGTTACTCCCCCCCCTTGTTTATTTTTAAATTTTGCTTAAGTCATGTTACTGTTTCAGCTCCTGCATTCCTAGCTAACACACTTTCAATAAATTTTCTTGATTGGGGGGAGAGGGGTGAGGAGGCGTTTTACACATTTTACAGTTTTTTATCTCTATTAGGACATAGAGGGGGGGATGGGACGTCTGCCATCCTGTGTATTTGTCTTTATTCACTATCGCTGAAAAAAATAGATAGTGTAAAGCTCAAATCCCCTTCTAATTTTTCCTGTTCAAAGTTTTCTTCTTCTTTCTTGTTTATCTTGCTTTAAGCACCCATCTCTACTGTTAAGAGATTTCCCTTCCACTTTTTCTGTTCAATTTATTTTTTCTTCTTGCTTCTTGTTTCTTGTTTTTACACTTTAAGGCCTTTCCAAATAGTTCTCGAGTTGTGGAGCAGGTAGGAGAGAGATAAGGAGGTTTGTAGGAAGAAGGGTATAGGGGATTTCTCCTTGTGTTCCTTCATTTTATACTGTTTCCCAGTTAGGGGAATTAAGGAATTTACCCATAACTGCACCCCATATGCAAAATGGGGAGTTGTGATCACTGAAAGCTCTCTTGAGAGGTATCCATGGCAGTTCAGTCCTCACATCTGGTCGAGTAAAAAACCGGTATCGTTGTGCATGGCTTGTATTCCCACGAGGGTTTAAACTCCTCTTTCAGTGCACTAAGCTGAAGATGAAGTTATCTTTTATTCTATGCTTCCAGCTTCCCCTGTAGGATACAAGATACGTAACTAAACTCAGCGCTTCCCCAGCTGTAATTCTGGGACTACATAGTAGGTCCGTTCTGCTTGAGAGAGAGCAGGCAACTATGTCATACTCATAATTAATTTTTAAGATCAAAGCTACTTTCAAGAAAAATTAAGAAAAATCAAGATTCTTTTTATAGACTTGCTGGCAAAATATAAAAAAAGAAATGTTAACCCTAATAGACAAAGCATAGCGTTTCATGTCATAATTATTGTATCAGAATAAAGTGTTTAAGAATTCAAGGTTTTTTTGTATCTACGCAGTTCGACACAAATATTTTTTAAGTTTCATATGTTTAAAAATATTTTACTCAAACTTTGGTTTCACAAATTTTGAAAAAAGAAGATATTATGCCTAAAAGAAGCAAATAAATCGTTGTTAAAACATTAACGTTTTTTTTGTAAAAGTAATTATTTTGCATAAAAGTGTAATAATAACCAGTACTTGAGCATAGAACTTGGAAATATGCTAAATTACTCGATCTTTTGATACCTTTCAAGACCCAAAAACCTATTAAAAACGTATATAATGAGATGCCCATTGCTCAACACTATACTGAGAAGAATAAAGTGCTTGTTTTAGGTTAAGAATTCTTGTAGAGACCCTGCCTGTTCATCAACTCCCAGATATCCTGGCTTCTATTGGTTAGTTTTAAATATTCTTTTCTTTCCATTGCACTTATTCTAATTACATAAGAATTGAGTTACTTTTCTAAAGGAATTTTCTATAGAAAACCCTGCAAAATTCGATATTGTTGTTCCGGTATTTACTCTTAGCTTTAAAATATTAAAATCTATTTAATTCAGCTTCTTTTTATTGTTGCTTTTTAATTATTTAATTTGGAAAATAACAATTTTTTTTAAAAATACGAGTAAACATTACCTTTGATTTGTAAACTAAAAACATTAAAATATACTGACTTAAAAAAACAGGTCTTACTGCATTAAAGACTAAAAATTAAAGGTACCATCATTTTATTCTGCAAAACAAATTTATCTCGTTAAGAGAAAAGTTGTCTCCCCATATTCTTGACTTTTATTCCTGTAGTTAAAAGTTCCTACCCGGAGAAGCTGAGCGTCCTGAACTCCGTCTGTGTTGAGGAGAGGCTGGAGAATACGTTCCCGCTTCTTCACCGACAAATAGAAGGGTTAAAGAACATCAAGGAATAAATATAAATATGATAAAAACATGTTTACATTTTTACAATCTTCATTACATTATCTTTAAATTTTTACAATCTTCATTACATGATCTTTACATTTTTAAAATCTTTTTTATCATCATGTTTACATTTTACAATTTTCATTACATCATCTTTACATTTTTATAATCTCCTTAACATCATGTTTACATTTTTACAATCTTTTATATCATCATGTTTACATTTTTACAATCTTCATTTCATCATCTTATTTTTACATTTTACAACACGATTAACAACGGTTTTATATTTTTAGGCGAATATTAACATCATGATGTTAAAGTTTCTCAACCTTTTTTTATATTTTACTTTTTTGCAGTCTTCAATAGCATAACAATATATAAATATTTTATATTATTCCTGCAGAACAAACAAGAGCAAAGAATAGAAAAGAAGAAAGGAGGAAAGGTAAAAATATTTCAAAGCACCATGCTTAGAAAATTATTAAAAAAATGAGTCTTTGCCACTAACTCTAATTTTATAATACCCATATCTTTGCAACCCAATTTCGTGGGGCTTAGATATTTAAACTATGAGATCTGTTAGATAAAAAATCAGAGTTTGAAATATTAGAGGTTTTTACCATCAGGTTGCAAAGATAAAAGGTTTAGAAAATTTAAATTTGTAGCAAAGCCTGAAAGTCTCAATTCCTTAATATCTCTTTTTAAGCGTGGTATGATCAAAATTCTGGCCGAGCCAGTAGATTGGAATTCAGGTATCTATAATCTATACATACAAAGTAGTATAAACAATGGTTATTTGCAAGGTTATAATGCAGGGAAAGTTATTTCAGAAGTGAACGGATATTTTTTACTGCAGTGTACTGTTTCTGGGCGGTAATTTAAACACAAGACGGATGTCACAGCCTGACATGGGATCCATCTTTCACAAAAAAAAATCAATGAAATATTCTGGTTATTGAAAACTGTTATGTGAATTATCAAAAAATTTTAAAATTCAATGCTTTTATTCTCCTAGGCTACTAAACGAACATTGATGCATCAATTCAGGGTTTACAAATTTCGCCCAGATAGAACTGGTTTCAATATGTACCCAGAGTATACGCTACTGCAATTAACTTTCCTTGCATTAGAACCTTGGTAACTTGTATTTCCGATCATAACTCTGACACCCCTTTTGTCTCATAACTCGTCAGAACTGTGGGGATGTTTTAGCTTGATTTAAATTCCGTATTAGCGTAGATTTACTTCTATGGAGAAGCGCTTCGCGCCCATCTTCTATTTCAACTTTTAATTGTGGCTTTATCTTTGTACAGTATAAAACAAAAATAAAAGTTTGCGGATTTTGTAATATTTTTTTGCGCATTTTCATAATTTTCAAAAATGAAAAAAATGTTAACACAAATTTTTAAAATTTTGTTGATCATTCATAAACTTTCCCTGGGGACACCCAGACAAGCTAAATTTATATATAGATAACAGCTTGTAAATATGATAAACGGATACATATGATTATTGAAAAACAACAAAATGCATATGTGGAATTTAAAACTGTTTAGCGGACCTGAATAATGATAAATAATTGAAATGATAATTTTTATAAAAAAATTATTGTCTTGAGAATACAGTTATCAACATTAAAAATAAATCTTTAACTTTTATTTTTAAAAGTTGTTAGTTCATCGTTGATAAATACTAACAATCCATCACCAGTTTATATTAAATGTAATGTAAACATTAAATATGCCACTTTCCTTTTCCTTTTCTTAGAATTTGGCCGGGGAAATATTTCCACTACCTCCTTTTTTTTGGAGGTTTTTAGATATTTTCCTCCGAAACATTTAATTTATCATATTTTGTTATGTTTCAAAAAAATAATTACTTACTTGAAGATATTTTTCACTTATATCCAAATGCTCATGATACCATAATATTCCAATAACTAGGAGTGGATGATGGTGATGATGAATTACAAGAACTGGAGAACAAACTAAAGGAACTCAATCTACCAGAGAAGGTGAAATATAAGATTTGTTACAAAATTACTGGATGAGGGGGGGGGGTATCTTGGTTAGTTAACAAAAACATGAAAGTGTGTTTGGGTGCTTTCCCTTTTTACTAATCGGTAAAAAATAATAACTAGGACTTTGCTATAAAATTAAGACGGGTTTCTTGGACAATAAATTCTGTTCTTTGGCTACTGCTATGATTGGCAGCTCCCAGATTTTCTTATAAGTCATCGAAAAAAAAAAACTAGATAAAATAATAATTAATACCAAAATATCCAGATTCAGCGGACAGCAGGACGAGAGATGAGAAGGTTAAAGAAAATATCTCCTCAGATGCCTGAATATCCTATGCTAAGACACTACCTGGAGCTGATTGTTCAATTACCCTGGGGAATATATTCACAGGTTTTAACTAAATATTCTTTTAGAGAAGTAAAAAAAGAGGAATAGCCTTATGTAAAATGTAATAACTGATATATATATATACAGATATGTAAATATGCTAAACTAGAATCAAATCTTGAAACATTGAATACAATTTCAAGTGGACGTGAAACCAACCATGTTACTCTAAATTCAGTCTCAGGGCGTAATTCTTCTGGTGAGAATATTAGCTTTTTGCCGCTAACTATCTGGAATTCCTGGAAGCCATTTTGAATTAAACAAAATCTTAGTAGATTTGCCAGATTTCGTTGGTGGATTTCCAAAAACGAAAAAAATCTAAATGTTAATATATAGAAGAAAATTATCATGACCTATTTGGCTAGGAGAACATTGACTTAAGAAAGGCCCGAGCGGATCTTGATCAAGATCACTATGCGCTAAACTCTGTGAAAAGACGGATACTAGAATATCTAGCAGTCAGGTGATTAAAGAAGTTCTACATAAAGTAGAAAAAATACTGATATTGTCGAATAAAAATTTTTTATTCAGAATCCATCTTTCCCCCCTCTATCATCATGTGATTGAAGCACCATACAGTTTTCAAAAATTTTAAACTGTTTATTTATCAAAGTTTATTTTTATATAATATATTTCTTTAACCTCTAATGACGATCTTGAACTTACTTGGTGTCGGGTGGAATTCTTCATGAATTATTCAAATTTAAATATGATAATTTTGTTCTTAACAATTTTGTTGATATTGAGATCTAAATCATGATTAACCATTCATGTACAGACTAGAAACTATATTTATATATCTATACTTTATTTTTGTTTTTTGTTTTATCATAATATTGTACCATTTTACCTTTGTGTACAAAATAAATCTATAATAGTAATAGTAATAATATTAAATATTTACATTTCTAGGAAGCTTAACCCTGCTTTACGGGGACCAATCCTCTGTTTCGCCGGCCCACCCGGAGTTGGGAAGACAAGTATTGGGAAATCTATCGCTAAAACCCTCGGCAGAGAATTTCAGAGAATTTCCTTAGGTATTAAATATTATCTCCTGGGATTNTGAAAACTTTTCTTCATTGATAAAATGTTAATTTATCTATTAATACCAAATCTACTAAAGGAATTTGATTTTCCAGGGTTGGGAAAACCCCGGTTTAAAAAACGTACCAGTGGGTGTTATTGTTTTTGGGTCTTTGGTCTAAAATTTCACTCCAGGATAGGGTCTCTGATATAGTATTATTCTCCAGTTTGGATTTATGGTCTAATTTACTACTCCAGGTTGGGTCTCTATTCTCTGATCTAATATTTTACTCTAGGTAGGTTTCTGGTCTCACATACTACTCCAGATTGGGTTGTTTCTGATAAAACAATGTACTCCAGTTTGGGTATTTGGAAGAGCGGGCATACTGTTTACTCAAGGCTGGGTCTCTGATCTAATATTTTAGTCTAGGTTGGGTGTCTGATCTTATCTATTTCTGCAGGTTGGGTTTCGAATAGTGTATTTTAATTCAGGTTTGATTTATGGTATAGCATTTTACTCCAGGTTGGGATTCTTATCTAAAATTTTAATCCAGGCTGGGTTTTTGATCTTGTGTCTAGGTGTGGTGTCTGATCGAAAAGTTTACTCTAGGTGGGGTTTCTGATCTAATATTTTACACTAGCTGGGGTTTCTGATCTAATATTTTACTCTAGGTGGGGTTTCTGATCTAATAGTTTACTCTAGGTGGGGTTTCTGATCTAATATTTTACTCTAGGTGGGGTTTCTGATCTAATAGTTTACTCTAGGTGGGGTTTCTGATCTGATATTTTACTGCAGGTGGGGTTTCTGATCAATCTGATATCCGAGGACACAGGAGAACTTATATTGGATCCATGCCAGGCAGAATTTTACAGGTTTAAACCAAACGGTAGTCGCCAAAATAAATAAAAACCACAGCAATAAATAAAATTGAGTTCACTCTGAGTTGAAACTATATCAGACAGCAAAAATATTTTCACTGCTTTTTCCTTCTTTTCTTGGGAAAGGGTACTTGCATTAAACAACCAAAATTTTATCTTCCCCTTCGTTAAAAGATAAAATCGGACAAGAGCTGGGAACTTTTGTTTTGTGGATATCAAAATCGACGCTTGATCTCGATTTTTAGTTAGTCCGGAGATTAATTTAATCTTTATTTGATATCCAAGCTTTGATTAGGAGAGGAATAACTGAAATGAAGAGATTAAGCATTGATTCTCAAATTAAAAGTACCCACAGTAGATATCAAGATCTATGGATAGAGATTATTAGATCTGTGGATAGAGATTATTAGATCTGTGGATAGAGATTATTAGATATGTGGATCGAGATTATTAGAACTGTGGATCGAGATTATTAGATCTGCGGATCGAGATTATTAGATCTGTGGATCGAGATCGATCTGAGCTGAAAACTTTAGAATGGGATATCCTTAATCCCGATCGGCTAATTAATCTGGAGATTAATAACAAGAGGAGAACAAGCATTACTTAATCTTGATAATAAGAAAAAGTGAGTGAATCAAGCATTAATCCCGATATCCACCATTCAAAAGTTCCCAGCTCAGGTCATATATGTCTAAACTTACGATATTTGTATAGACTTGGCTTAAAGGGCACACCCCTCTTTCTAGCAATACTTTTCCCGAGTCTTTGAAATTATGAAAATGTTTGAAAATTTATTTTGCAGGGGATAAAACAGGCAGGAACTAGCAACCCTGTACTTCTTCTGGATGAGATTGACAAGCTTACTGTTGGTATTCATGGGGATCCTTCAGCAGCACTTCTAGAGGTACGTAGGGCACTGGTGACAGGGTGCTCATCACTCATGGGGAAAAGTATTAAATTGTTTTTTTTCTTCAGTTTATTAGCTATAGCCAACATAAAAATAGATTTAAGACTCTGAAGCTTTCAAATGTGGTCTACCGTATTTGAATCTTGAAATGTTGGATATACAGGGTGTCCCTCGAAAAATTTCTTTTTCTTCATAATTTGTTGAGCTGTTTGATACCAAGGAGAATATAAAAAATATTATATGGCAGTCTTATTATAGTACGTAAAATTGATTTCAAAGTAAGATATATTTGAGTAAAAGATTTTTTATCAAAATAAACTACAAAGAGTCTTTAAAATCTGACAAAGTATATGGAAGAAGACATTCAGAACTATTCACCAATCTTCATGTTTAGTTGGACACTCTGTATTTTAAAGAATTAAAATTAAAATTTAGCAATTTGAAATTTGGACAATGTAATTAATATATCAATCAAAATAGACTCTAAAATTTTAATTCACCGGGTTTCGAGGAATATGCATATATGTGTTCACTGTTTATGTTTTCATGACAATATAAAGTCGAAATTTTTTCCCCATATTTATTGGGACAGCCTGAAGAAAATGCTTCCTTCATTGACTTCATTCCTTTTATGAAAATCAAATTTTGAAATTTGAATTTTAAAAATCGAATTTTAAACAAAAAATCGAATTTTGAAAAAAAAATCGAATTATTTTAGCCAATTGTATTTTCTCAAAAAGTTTCAGCTGACATATAAAATTATATATATGAGCGAAGAGCTTTATTATATTGATAAAAAGTGTCAAAAATATTTTAGGTTTTAGATCCCGAGCAGAACTCAAGTTTTGTTGATCATTATTTAAACCTACCCTTTGATCTAAGTCAGGTACCTGAATCAAATTAGAAATCCTTAAATTAAGCTAAATATTCCTCCTTCTTAGTTACAAAGATATTCACATATTTTGACTTTAGATACATATATTACATAACAAACTTATTAAGGTTTTGTTTATTGCAACAGCCAATTCTCTTTCTGAAATATCCAGACCACTTCTAGACAGGATGGAGATTATATCCGTCCCAGGTAATTATATATCCAGGTTAGGGTGGATATTATATCCGTCCCAGGTTATTATATATACAGGCTAGGGTGGAGATTATATCCGTCCCAGGTTATTATATATCCAGGCTAGGGTGGAGATTATATCCGTCCAAGGTTATTATATATCCAGGCTCGGGTGGAGATTTTATCCGTCGTAGGTAATTAAATATATCCAGGCTAGGGTGGAGATTATATCCGTCCCAGGTTATTATATATCCAGGCTAGGGTGGAGATTATATCCGTCCCAGGTCTATTAACTATCCAGGCTAGAGTGGAGTTTATCTCCGTCCCAGGTTATTATATATCCAGGCTAGGGTGGAGATTATATCCGTCCCAGGTTATTATATATCCAGGCTAGGGTGGAGATTATATCCGTCCAAGGTTATTATATATCCAGGCTAGGATGAAGAATATATATGTCCCAGTCTATTAACTATCCAGGCTAGGGTGGAGATTATATCCGTCCCAGGCTATTATATATCCAGGTTAGGGTGGAGATTATATCCGTTCCAGGTTATTATATATCCAGGCTAGGGTGGAGATTATATCCGTCGTAGGTAATTATATATCCAGGCTAGGGTGGAGATTATATCCGTCCCAGGTTATTATTTATCCAGGCTAGGGTGAAGATTATATCCGTCCCAGGTTATTATATATCTAGGCTCGGGTGGAGATTATATCCGTCCAAGGTTATTATATATCCAGGCTAGGGTGGAGATTATATCCGTCCCAGGTTATTATATATCCAGGCTATGGTGGAGATTATATCCGTCGCAGGTTATGATATATCCAGGCTAGGGTGAAGATTATATCCGTTCCAGGTTATTATATATCCAGGCTAGGATGATGAATATATATGTCCCAGTCTATTAACTATCCAGGCTTGGGTGGAGTTTATCTCCGTACCAGGTTATTATATATCCAGGCTAGGGTTGAGATTATATCAGTTCCCAGTAGTTATCTATCAATGCTAAATACGAATATAATATGCGTCCAAGGTTATTGTGTATTCAGGCTGAAAAAGCCTGATATTTGACAGAGAAATTTAAGTTTTCACTAAACACCTTTCAGTCCTGTAGGAAAGTGGGTATCCAGATATCCAGGCTAAGTATGCATATTAAGTTTTGTTTCAAGCAACCAGGTATCCATATGAGAGCAAAACTTTTATAGAGGATAGTGCTTAGCTTCAGTGACTGAACTGAGTTTCTACGGCACAAACTTTTAGATTGAGGTTTAACTCCTGTTAGGAGTACCGTTGTGAATCGGGCATTGCTATCTTTGGATGAAGGGTCACTTAAAATTACGATAACCCTCACTTTAAAGTATATATTTATCTAGCTTTATCCGGATATCTACCATGGAAATCTTAACCTCTCCATTGTCAGTATAACATTACCGTTCATTACCATGCATTCCACCCCAGACTAACCAGAGTCAACAGCATTCGGTTTCTTCTATTCATAATTATACGTGTTTTGGTCTATAATTCACAATCTTTTAACTTACGGATTAATCTTTGCTTTATTTTTTCATACGAAATGTATATGCCGATAAAAAAGTATCTGAGGAAAAAGGCTAAAAAAGTATGTTTAATGAATAAAATTGTGATTGAAAGTCACAGCTTTCTGGAATATTGACAGAACCGTTAAATCCGCGTGATTCATATAGACTTTCATGTCAAGTTTATTACATAGTGTAAAATGTAGGATACAGCTTGGAGGACAAGATTCCTATTGCTTCGCGCCACCTTTTCCCACGCCAGCTTGCAGAGCACGGTATTCAGGTGAGGGATTTAAAAGCTGAATCATATTAAGTTTTAAATGTCATTTTTAAAAATTTTGAAGTTTTTAAATTATCAAACCACAATTTTTTGTGATATTTGTGACTTTTCTAGAGAAATTTTCATTTTAACTTTTGTTACATTTTACATTTGCCTTTGTTGTATTTTTATTCATTGTTTGAAGGAATCAAGTATTGTTCTTCCAGAATCAGTTCTCAAGGTTATTATCTCCAGGTAAAAACAATGCCATATATTTTTGAGCATCTTCTAAAGTAATATTTTCGTAAAACTTGTAAACAACCCCCGACAAGAACTAAAGTTATAAAATAATGATGGTTAAACAGTAAACACCCGGCCAAGTATAGCTCTAAAATTTAATTATACTCAAAAATTGCTTAAAATATCCATATATAAGTACAGGGTTACCCACAAAGGATAAAACTTCAGAGACGTTTGTACGAAATTTGTTTAGTCCATTTTCTTGGATTCAAGGTTCTCTGTACGTCAAAACTGGCTTATTTCTGTGGTTAATCATTTAGTAAACCATCAAAATACTCAATTGAATGCAGAAACCAAAAATCAAGCTTCAAATCGTCATATTTTTGGGTCGTCTTTACAGTGATTCAGTCTCATCTTTGAGGGTATCCCTGTAAAAGACTACTCTATACTGGCGTCATTAATTATATTCTTTTTGTAATTGGATATCAAGCCTAATCAACAGTGCGTGAAAGAAACCCCGGCCCCTAGATTAAATACGTGTGTGTGTCCTTGGATATCAAAACTTTATAAGTTAAAGTGCTTTCAAAATTACCCAAGATAAAGCAGAAGGTTGATTTCTATAATAACTCAAGGTTTACCAGAGAAGTAGGGGTAAAAGCAGAAGGTTTGCTATTATAATAATTCAAGTGCTAACCAAAGAAGCAGGAGTAAAAGCAGAAGGTTGACTTTATAATAACTCAAGGTTTACCAGAGAAGCAGGAGTAAAAGCAGAAGGTTGACTTTTATAATAACTCAAGGTTTACCAGAGGAGCAGGAGTAAAAGCAGAAGGTTGACTTTTATAATAACTCAAGGTTTACCAGAGAAGCAGGAGTAAAAGCAGAAGGTTGACTTTTATAATATCTCAAGGTTTTCCAGAGAAGCAGGAGTAAAAGCAGAAGGTTGACTTTTATAATAACTCAAGGTTTACCAGAGGAGCAGGAGTAAACGCAGAAGGTTGACTTTTATAAATATCTCAAGGTATACCAGAGAAGCAGGAGTAAGAAACCTGGAGAGAGAGCTGGGAACAATTTGTAGAGCCTTAGCGGTCAAACAAGCTGAACTGGAGGATAATCTAACACTCCAGGTATTTAATTAGTACTAGAGGAATATCTAGCAATCCAAGTATTTAATTAGAACTAGAGGATAATCTAGCAATCCAGGTATTTAATTAGAACTAAAGAATAATCAAAATGATGAGATTAGAAAATGTACTTATGATTTAAGTTTTTTCTACATTAACTGAACACGAAAAATCTATTCAGAATTCAGAAACCAATGTTTATGGAACACCAATCACAAACATGAAGATCAGTGAAACCATGAAGAGGGACGCAGAGATAGCAGCGGAGCAATCAAACTTTCCATTTACACTAGGAACAGATAAATCAAACTTTCTATCTACATAATTGAAACATATAAATCAAACTTTACATTTACACTAGGGACAGATAGAACAAACTTTCTATTTACATAATTGAAACATATGAATCAAACTTTCCATTTTGCTAGAAACAGATAAATCAAACGTTCCATTTACACTAGAAACAGGCAAATAAAACTTTCTATTAACGCTGGGAACAGATAAATCAAACTCTCATTTTACACTACGAAGAGATCAATCTAACTTTCAATTTACACTAGGAACAGATATATCAAACTTTCCATATATGCAACACTAGGAACACACAAAATAAACTTTCCATTAAAGCTAGGAACAGATAGTCCAAACTTTCCTTTTACGCTAGAAACAGATAAATAAAACTTTCCTGCTTCATATGTACACTAGAAAAAAAACGACTGGTCAGATTTAATCTGTATATTATAGATTTAAAGCTAATTGAGGAAGTTCTTGGACAGCCTAGATTCGAATCTGAGCTGGCCGGGCGCCTGGGAGTGGCTGGGGTTGCTGTAGGGCTGGCCTGGACAAATGTGGGCGGGGAAACGATGGTTGTTGAGGCTAGCAGGATGTCGACCTCAAGGTCTGAAGGTCAGGTTAAGCTGACCGGACAGCTGGGCGGGGTCATGCAGGAATCTGCTGCACTAGCCATGTCTTGGATTAGGTAACTTCAAAATTTGCAATTTAGAATAAAAAGTTTGGAGTAATTAAAAATTAAAATGTACAAATTACAAAAATTGACTCGTGATTAAAAGATAAAAGAAGTGAAAAAACTTTTTTTCCAAATTACGTCTCCCTCCTTGTATTCTAGAAAGGGTTTCTACCAAAACTAACCCGATTTATCATTTCATCTTATCAATTTTGGCCGATATTAACAGATATGAATTATTCTTGTGGGGAACTTACCTTTTGGGAAAGTTTCATAACTTAGCACTAGGGAAGTTTCATAACTTACCACTAGGGAAAGTTTCATAACTTACCACTAGGGAAAGTTTCATAGCTTACCACTAGGGAAAGTTTCATAACTTACCAATAGGGAAAGTTCATAACTTACTACTAGGGAAAGTTTCATAACTTACCATCTAGGGAAAGTTTCATAACTTGCCAGTAAGGAAAGTTTCATAACTTACCACTAGGGAAAGTTTCATAACTTACCATCTAGGGAAAGTTTCATAACTTACCATCTAGGGAAAGTTTCATAACTTAGAACTAGGGAAGTTTCATAACTTACCACTAGGGAAAGTTTCATAACTTACCATCTAGGGAAAGTTTCATAACTTGCCAGCAAGGAAAGTTTCATAATACCACTAGGGAAAGTTTCATAACTTACCATCTAGGGAAAGTTTCATAACTTGCCAGCAAGGAAAGTTTCATAACTTACCACTAGGGAAAGTTTCTAACGCCAAACAAATTGTATCTAAGATGCAACGCTGATAAGCTTGGTTTGGTTGGAGCTGAGCTGCTAGCTGAGCAGGACATTCATCTTCATTTTCCTGCTGGAGCAGTAGAGAAGGATGGACCCAGTGCAGGTAGGATTTTTTTATTGAACCAGATACAGGGTGTCCCGCGAAACACGACAATATCAAGACGACTTTTTAAATAATTTCCGGCATTTTTTTAGGAAACCTAATTTTAGAAGTATTATTATCAAAAAATCCCTAGTTTTGACATTGCCAAAATGCGATTTTCCTTTTTTTAACGTCAATATTTCCTGACATGTTAAGAATCTCGTTCAAATCATGAATTTTAAAAAAACGTAAAAACGGATTTCAAGAGGTTTTAAAAATACTTATAGTTTTTTTTATTTTCTGAAGAAATACTACTCAACCACCTGGCCTAATTTTCTAAAGAAATACTAATCAACCACCAAAATTATTCTGGCCTAATTTGCGCACGGAATAAATGGTGTTTACAGCCGCCCCTTTGTCCTCCTACATCCATCAGGTGGTCATAACCAACCAACCAGATGTCGGCTCCAGATGTTTTTGAAACCACAGGTTTGTGTGGAGTACGGGAATCGAACCTGTGAACACCAGTCTGGACACCAATCCAGTTACTGGCTGTGGACAAGTTTGCTTAAAATTCAGTGATCTAACGAGAACTGGTGTCACATCCTCTCCACCCCACCTCACGGATTAAAAGATATTAATATATAGATAAATAGATAGATCCTGCCGCCGTTGAAATCTCTATTGGTTTTGAATACTCATAAAATACTTGAGTAGCTAGGTATGCATGATTGGTTTGGACGATACAGGAAAGTTGGAACAAGGGTGACACGAGTGACACAGTACAATATATTTCAGCCAGGTTTCAACTTGCTAGCATGTCATTAAGACCCCGCTCAAATGTGACTCTCCATGCAAAGATGGTAATGTCCGAATTTTAACGGAACCCTTAAAAGCTTTATCTGATCATGTACGAATCATATATCAATGTTTTTATTTCTTTGAACTGTTTATTTTCATTTGTGTTTTCTCTGAGAAAATGACTTGCGATTTTCTTGCTTCTACAAAACAATTGAGAAATTCACAGAAATAAACGCTTTTTGAGTCAGAAAAACGAGTAACAACGCTATCTTCCCCATTTTTTATCAGATTAAGGATTGAAGGCTACCGTTGTAATGAAATTGGTGGGTTACTTGAAATTACGCTTACAATCCTTTAAGATGGATTTTAGTAAAATAATATTTCTTAAGGTGTGACCATAGTAACTGCACTTGTCTCTCTGTTGACCGAAAGACTGGTAAGATCTGATCTAGCAATGACTGGAGAAATAACGCTGCGCGGACTTGTCCTGCCAGTAGGAGGGATCAGAGACAAAGTCCTAGCAGCCCACAGGGTCGGTATCAACACCATCATACTCCCCAAGAACAATAAAAAGGTGAAATTTGTTAACAAAAACCAAGGTATAAAAAGTTTGCCCAAGGTTTCAGCCTTACAATGGCGAAATAACCCAAAAAACATGTAACAGAATATGGAAATTTTTGAATGGCTTTTTATTCATCTTTGTGGCATAGAGAAAAAAAAAAAATTTGAGTCAGTGAAGCCTGGAGGCTGATGTTTTAGGAAGGTATAACCACCATGTTAATGAAATTTTTTCTACAGGATTTGAATGAAATTCCCGAAAATATTGAAAAACTGATGACGTTTCTCCCAGTTTCAAGTTTGGAGGAGGTTATTCAAGCAGCATTCCCAGGAGGGTTTCCTTTCATTCTTAATCAACAAACTTTTACAGAGCTTAGTAAACTCTAGTAATGCACGGAATCTAGGGGGTATAAATAGAGATCATTGAAACACTTTTTTATCATAAAAAGTTTAATGAATGACAAAACTTGTATGTAATACAGACTAAAACATGCCAAATGTTGTACCTTGCCTAAGCAAAAAACGAGGGTAGATTAAAATTATCAAATGGAAGTTTCACAATTAAAAAAATAATTTCAAATGCATTGATTCTATGTCTATTGATAACCACTTATTTTGTAGCATAATAAAGTTAATAGTTAGTCTGTGTGTATTTATGGTGCAATGTTACTTTATATTCTTATATATTTTTATAACTATATGCATATAGAATAAATAAACGTTTAATTATTCTTTTAAAATGACCTATCATTCATGCACAGGTGTTTGATTCAATTTTATTGAATGTTTAAAAAAGAAAATTAAGTACCCGGTCTTTGATAGTAATGGATTTTATAACGTTGACGAAAAACTTGGTACAACTATGAGAAAACATGAAGGTTACACAAGAGTTTAAACTGAATTAGTTTTTTCTTCACGTAGTAGGCATTTACATACATATGTAAAAACTAAAAATTATAAATTATGAAATACATAATATATATAATGAATGATTTGTATTTTATTTTAGACATATTTTCAAAAATTACGAGCTAAAAAAATTAAGATAAATGAAAATCTGGACACTTTGACACATTTTATTTCTTCTTTTCATGACATCTATATTTATAAAGTTGTGATCTCTGTGTGTCTGTTTGTTTGTTTTCCTGATCATAACTCAGGAACCACTGGACCGATTTGCCTCAAATTTAGACGAGTGAACTTGGGAGAGCCGCGGGAATGTTCTTATGTTAGATTAGTGATTGAAGTTAAGTGGATCGGGAAAAGAGTTAAAATCGTAATTTACGACAAAGCTCGGGTAATTAGTGGGACTAACTATGACCCCCCAGTGCAACGCTGGGTTCCCAAGCTAATTCATAATAATGTGGGGGGAAATATATATTTTTTAACAGTAGGTGGGAATACATTTTTTAAGAAATATCTACAAGGAGACCCATAAAACTGTGGAATAGCAATTATGACATTAAAACAACCTAAAGTATCATACGTTTTATAGATTTTAATCCTAATATTCAAATAAATAAATGAAATGTGTATGTGTAAACTAAACAATTGCTGAAATTCATGTTCATTATGTCATTTAAAATCATAAATTTAGTCTAACAGTCGTCTTTCTATCCAAAGTTTTATGGGTCCCACTGTATAAAATAATGCTTATTACAAGGATTTCTGATAAGGCCTCATTTGAGAATCTTCTTACTAATTGCAACGTTCTTACATTTTCACAGAGATACTATGTACTTTCTTCCGAGTTCAGTTTACGTCACTCTACAGTTCCAAAGTAGTCACACTAATCACAAGCATATACTCACGTCTTTATGCATTCTAAGAATGGGCCTCTTCAGATAACATTTTTGGGTTGAAGAGTAATCGCATTTATCACAGGTATATTTTAATCCTTCATGTTTATTTATTTCTAACACGGTTCTTTAGACAATCCACTCTGGTTCCAATATATTCACATTTATTGCAAAAATATCTTACTGTAACTGTTTCTGTAAATTTCGTGTACAGTCTGATAAATCTCTTTTGCTCGGTGGCATCTCTTTTTTTGCACTAATTATTCTAAAACATTTGATTTTACTCTCATCACCTGTTCAAATATCTTCATCTTTACCTTTTACTAACAGCTTAGTGTGAAGTTCAGGGTTAAATACAGGTTTATTCTGTTCAGTTCCAGTATTCCATACATCTAAATATATAAATACAGGTTTATTCTGTTCAGTTCCAGAATTAAATACATCTAAATATATAAATACAGGTTTATTCTGTTCAGTTCCAGTATTAAATACATCTAAATATATAAATTCAGGTTTATTCTGTTCAGTTCCAGTATTCAATACATCTAAATATATAAATACAGGTTTATTCTGTTCAGTTCCAGTATTCCATATATCTAAATATATAAATACAGGTTTATTCTGTTCGTTTCCAGTATTCAATACATCTAAATATATAAATACAGGTTTATTCTGTTCAGTTCCAGTATTAAATACATCTAAATATATAAATACAGGTTTAATCTGTTCTGTTCCAGTATTCCATACATCTAAATATATAAATACAGGTTTATTCTGTTCAGTTCCAGTATTCCATACATCTAAATATATAAATACAGGTTTATTCTGTTCAGTTCCAGTATTCCATACATCTAAATATATAAATACAGGTTTAATCTGGTCTCTTCTAGTATTCAATACATCTAAATATATAGATTTACGTTTATGTTCTGTTCCAGTATTCCATACATCTAAATATATAAATACAGGTTTATTCTGTTCAGTTCCAGTATTCCATACATCTAAATATATAAATACAGGTTTAATCTGGTCTCTTCTAGTATTCAATACATCTAAATATATAGATTTACGTTTATGTTCTGTTCCAGTATTCAATACATCTAAATATATAGATTCAGGTTTATGTTCTGTTCCAGTATTCAATACATCTAAATATATAAATACAGGTTTATTCTGTTCTGTTCCAGTATTCCATACATCTAAATAAATAGATACAGGTTTATTCTGTTCTGTTCCAGTATTCAATACATATAAATATAAAAATACAGGTTTATTCTGTTCTGTTCCAGTATTCCATACATCTAAATATATAAATACAGGTTTATTTTGATCAGTTCCAGTATTCCATACATCTAAATATATAGATACAGGTTTAATCTGTTCTGTTCCAGTATTCAATACATCTAAATATATAGATACATATATCCAGCATTTTATTTGGAAGAGTGAAAACAAATCAAGATATCACAATAAAACTTTACTTAATATTCCTAATTTACATTAAGGGCAGAAGAGTAAAAAAGAGGTACAAAATAAAGTTTTTTTGAAGAATTGAAGAAAATAATGAAATAGGTCATAAAACCAGGTGATTTAAATTTTTTGTAAAAACTGACCAGCCTTAGAAATTCAAGCTCCAGCAGATTAACTGTTAGTTAGTTTATTTAAATTTTTTTTGGTAAAGGATCGGACATTTGAACGGAATAGTGCTTATATTTATTTCGGCAATCGAACTTGCAAAATCCATTGCACAATTCTTTTAAATTCAGTGTTAACTAAGGCCTGATATCGGGGAAAGTTGTCCATTCCTTGTACAAATTAGGTATTCGACGTCTATATATAAGGTTGAACGGTTGAGAACTTGAGGGGGAAATAATGCGTCTGTACGTAGGTTTAAGATCCAAAAGTTTAACCTAAGATCTTATTGTCAACTATGAAGATGAAGCAGGTAACTGTAGGAGAAATGATTATCTGTATTAAGCTGAACATTAGACTGGTGAAAGTAGCTTGGATATTGCAGGATTGATTTAAAAATTGCACTCGCTTTAACTTACTGAGCTGAAAACTTTAGAGTTGTGGATATCGAGATCAATGCTTGATCCATCTCGTTTTCTGATATCTAACATAATCTTGTGTTTGTATTCTGAAAATTTATAAAATTCAACCAATCAGAATGGCATATTGAGCGAATTGACCATATCTTAGAAGCCGGGAAATTTATCATGAAAATACAGAGACGGGAAAGAGGAGCTCTCTTATTTAAAAAAAAACGATTTTTGATTTATTTTGGGTGTCGTATCGTTTGCACTATAATGATTGATCGGACTAACGTACATTCGCACTATAAACGTTCATTCGAAATAACGTTTTATATTTAGGGTTAGGTTAGGTTAAGACAATTTCTGGGCCGAGCGCTGCTGCAAGGACAGGCTAGGGGCCGAGCGCTGCAGCTTGGACAGGCTAGGGGGCCGGGCGCTGCGGCCACATGACCAATNAGGTGGCCGAGCGCTGCGGCCACATGGTCAGTTATATCCATGTCTAACATATAAGATCCATGTACAAAATTGATAGGAGAGGGGGGGGGGTCCATAAATCGTTCTCTAGGTATATACCAGCAATTATTAATTAAAACCTTAAACTATCTTGGCTTCCCTTTTTTCAAGATTAATAGTTGGACTTTGTCAAAATTTGTTAAAACTGAGACAGAAAATTGTTTTATATTGTTAAATTGTAACGTAAGTTCGTAGATAGGGTTCTAAATTTTCATTTTATAGAAACAAGAATGTAGTTTTGTGGTTTCTGTAGTCGCAGATAGAAAGATCCCCTTCCTATAATGAATAATCTGTTCTAAATGTTTATCATGCACATTCTAGTTTTATCGTGTTTGTTTGCATTTAGAATTAAAGATACAAATAATAGTTAGTTTTATAATTTGCTACAGCAAATTTACCCGAATCTTCCTAGTTTGTCACTTTTTGGCTCAGTGTGACCAGTTATCTGGTCCGACTAAAAGATCTGATTTTTGGTTCACAGAACAAAATACATATTGGTTACTAATACTATAAAACAGCTAAGATATTTTGTGGGCCAAGTGGGGGCTAGGAAAGAGTTTAAATTCTTTCATATTTCCGTCGCACTTATTTCTATTTTTAGTCGACTGGAATCTCGGGTGATGTATCACTGGAAAGAATGCGAAGAAATAGGAAAATTAATACTTAAAATTCTGTCTCAATTTATTTTAAGATTCCTAAATATGATGTATTTTACGCTCCATATGTAATCTTCTTTTTAGATCCTTAATATTTATCTTTCAAATCCGAGTGGATATTAGATCTAGATGTGATTACCTCATCAAGTTCAGACAACAACTTAAATATTCACCGGTCTAAACTACAGTTATTGCTTTTATTTTCTTGCACTGACTGGGTTTAGTTGGTTTTAAGCTCTCAATGAATCAACAGTGTACCGAAAGCTTAAATGTGAATTCTAATCGTTACATTAAAAGAGAAATTAGACTTCAAGGGCGCTTCGTACCCCTCTTATAGCATAAATAATTCCTGTTCAAGCTGCGGCCATTTATTCTTCGTAATGGTAAAACTCCAAATTTTGCGGATTTTTCCGTTAACAGTGATAGATTTTTAAATTTTAAAAAATCGACATTTTTTCCGGGAATAATTTCACAATATGAATTGCACACAACAGACAAACAAGCCAAATTTATGATTAGAAGTATTGATTTTTAGCCCAGTCGTCTATGATTCTTTGTTTGGTCCAAACAGAGTAAGGAACAGTAGTCCTAACGCTCTGAATCCAACGAATCGTCATGTAAGCCCCTTAAACCGGAACTTCAGTCCAACGAAGGGTCAAGTTCAGGATCTTGGAGATGTAGGGAAAGAAAATTTTTCAAATATAACACTCGATCAGGTATATTACTAATCTAATTTGTTTGACTCGGGTTTTTTATCCCAATTTTCTGTTTTCCCCTCTAGAAATCTAATTTTGTTTAAAATATTTTCTTTTTTTGCAATCGTTGAGCCCCCGCTCACCAGCCTGTCTGTCTTAACTCATTTCCAGGCTTATTTTTATTTAACTGCATTTGTTAAAAATTTATTTTCCCCACAAATTTTAATTGACTTATATTGTAATTTGCATTCGCAAGTTTATGCATTTTTGAAATTGTTCTTGGATTGAAAGCTTTGTTTTGAAGATTAATCACTTGTTTTAAAGATTAATCACTTTAAAATTATCTATAGGAATCTACAAGAATTGACTTTACTCCGGTCCGTCCAACCTCTCCCATCAGACGAAAGGTAAAAATTTCAAGTTTAATCTTTGAAAGAAGGATTTTTTTGGTAAAAAATAGATGTTAATAAAATGTATGTTTATATTCTACAGCCGGCTAAAACAAAGAGTTGAAGCAAAAATAAAGAATATTACATTTTTCGCTCCTCAGTGACTTAAGATATGTGCCAAATTCCTCAAATTACCAACTGCTTAGTAGGTTAGGAAATTACATGTAATATATACTCCTGCATGTTTAGTGACTGGAGAAGGCTTATGCATGCTGTTTAGGTACTCCAGCCTTTTGGTAGATTGGAAAAGGTTTATATATGTTGTGTAGGTTCTTCAACATGTTGGTCGACTGGAGAAGGTTTATATATATTGTGTAGGCTCTTCAACATGTTGGTAGACTGGAGAAGGATGTTTATATGTTGTGTAGGTTCTTCAACATGTTGGTCGACTGGAGAAGGTTTATATATGTTGTGTAGGCTCTTCAACATGTTGGTAGACTGGAGAAGGTTTATATGTGTTGTGTAGGTTCTTCAACATGTTGGTAGACTGGAGAATGTTTATATATGTTGTGTAGGCTCTCCAACCTGTTGTTAGACTGGAGAAGGTTTTCTCCCTGGGGAGTGAGAGCGAAGACTATACTCCAACATTTGATCCAACTCCAGCAGCTATCAAAGCTGCTCGAGTACAGAGGTATAAATGGGTCTTATAGTTAATAAATTCTCTATAAATCATTAACCCTTAACCAGTGTTTATTTTTTAATTTCTAGAATTGGAATATAAATAAATAATTAACTATTCAATATAATTTCAAGATCTATCAAAGCTCACTCTAAAACTATTGTCCGAAGGTATACTGAGTTTGATTTCTGAACAAATACATATAAAAAATATGCATAATGCACTAATACAGTAAGAACATTGAATTTTTTTGTCACTGCTGGCTCGTATTTAAAAAATGGATTTCAGATTCAATATGTTACCCTTTAAACTTCTTTCCGAGTAACATTGAGAAAGATAAAGTAGTTTTTCTACCTGAAAACTTGTGGAATTTTGAGAATTTCTTTTTATTTCTCTCTTGCATAAATCCATAAAAGAATAAGAAGGATATCATCCTTGATCAGACAATGGTTTGAAGAGTACCGCTGTTGTGAATCGAACATGTCACTCTAAAATGGAGGATCTTTTGAAATAAAATTCATAGAGTACACTACAGACCCTTCAAGATAAAATGATCACATAAGAATAATGATTTCAGGAAAGCGGGTAACTCGGCTTTATCCTCAGCAACGAACCTGGAGAAGGGTTGGAGAGAGGAGAATATTTTGAAACCCAGAAACTCGGATAATGATCTAGGGTTTGGAATGCCTCCTCCTAAATGCAAACCAATTATCTCGGATAAAACAGCGGCGGATAATACTTCAACTATCCGCCCTAAGAAGAGATACGAGAAGAAAAGTTCTCCATCCAAATCAACTCGACGAAGCAAATCTTTGGACAAGCCTCGAAATAGTTCTAATGTCCCTGCAAATAGTAAGTCTCCTGCTAAACCTCAGAGAGACTCTCCTGTTCAAACTAGATCTCCTTCTCAACCTGAAATGGACTCTCCTTCTAAAGAAAAGAGTAGGTCTCCTACTAAACTCCGAAGAAAGAATAAGCCTGTGAACTCTGAATCTATAGATTCAAGCAACAATAAACAAAGACAAGAGTTATCTCAGACCTTGGCCTTCACTGGGATTCCGGAGAAAGAAACTGTCCAACCAGAGGATCTCATTGTCTCATCAGCTATATCCAGGTATTCAAGTCAATTTTAATGAACATTAAAAGGTGTTGGAACTCAAACCAAGTTTAAATTTTCAGTTTATCGGTCATCAGTCAAGATTTACAAACACGTATTGAATATATAAAATACAAGATAAAAGGGCAAATATTTCTACTAATTTTGAACGAGAACTAGATTTTAGAATTAAGATTAGTTGTTGATAAAGATGTAAAAAATCAATTTGAATTTTTTTCTTCTATTTTCTTGAAGTTGGCGACTTGGAGAATTTTCTGTTATTTTATGGTGGCTCTGAAATGCTTATTTTCCTTGCAAAATTATTTATTTTCTCAAACCAAAACCCTTGTAACAAAATATACTTTTTCAGAGAAGTATTTCCATCCAGAGGATTCAAGGTTCCACAGCTACCTCAAATACAGAATAGGAAGAAACAAACAACAAACAAGATCAATGGTATACAGCAGATCAATCAGATCAACGGAATCAATCCGATCAATCAGTCTGAGCAAAACAAAACAATTTCAGCACAACCTCAGGCTTCTGTACCGTCATTGCCTAAAGTAGGAATTATTTTCGGGGAGGGGGGTGGGGTTATGGACGATATTTGCACTTAAATCATTGATCAATGATGAAAATGTTTAATGTTTATCTTTATACACATAGCTTTTTGTATAGTAACACGTCGTGCTGTTTCTTAACTTTCACAAAAATTGTCAAGACACCCCATAACCAAAAGGTGTTTGTCACTGTTAATTATTGCTAAAATTTAAAAGTTAAAATTTAAAGTGCTGTTTCTAACTTTCACAAAATTGTCAAGACACCCCATAACCAAAAAGTGTTTGTCACTGTTAATTATTGTTAAATTTTAAATTTTAAATTTTAAATTTTAAATTTTAAATTTTTTTGTTTGAGACTCCAGACAATTTATTGATTAAACGAAATGAACCAATATATGTGGACCCTGGCATGGTGGAAGTTGTTTTATCTGTAGTTGTTTAATTGCTAGTTTGTCTTATATTTTCTTTCTACATACCTTGCTGATGGGCACTATGTCTAATCCCATATTTGGTTTTAGTTTTGCCATAATAAATAATAATCTAGCTGCCCCGGGGAGAAGCCAGGTACCTGGTGAACTGGATCCCCAGACTAAAGCAAAGGAAGCTGGTTGTTGAGGGGAACCTGATGGATTTCTCTAAACCGGTTCCTGACAAGTATGATCAAGATCAACGCTGGATCAGCAGTAGAATAACTGGCAGGGTAATATTTAAAGGGACAGACCGGCTATCTTATCTTATGTTAGGTAGTGAAACTAAGTGTGCAGTGTTGTGGACAAATTCTTTCAAATAAAACTTTTTAAATATCTGTCAATCCTGAGTTTGAGCGCAAAGTCGAAGTTCAAAATCGTACTTTTGGGTGGATTCGCATACAGAATTGTTTTTTTATTATTATGAAATAACGGCGACATAAAATGTAAACTAAATTCTACAGCAAACTAATAAGTTGTTTAGGAACAGGTTGAGAAAATAAAAGTAATTCTTTTATTAGTTTCTATAATCTCTCTTAAATCACAGATTTTCTGCAGATTTTCTGGAATTTTTATTAAAAAGACAACATTTGAAGAATTTGGAGAAATTTGCGAACAAATTCATAGAAAATAAGAATTTCAATATAATGATGAAAAAGGAAATAATTTATTCTAACTTCGATTTATTGACAAATTTCTGAGAAATACGTGCCTAAACCTCTAATTAGTTAGCAATAGAATTTTTACTATATTTTTCGGTCGTTATTTAATAGTTAAAAAAACCCCGATTCTGAAAACGTACCCACCCAAATTCGTGACTTTGAACGTCGGCTTTGCGCTCAAACTCAGTAATAATACATCGTGGAAACGTTTTATATGTCTCAAATGAATCCTGAAGAATTTGCCCACAATACTGCATACTCGTTTAACTACCTTACATAGCCGGTCTGCCTCTTTAATTCCACAATAAATACGTCCTTGTCTAGGATCTGATCTATAGTTTATTTCCTTTCAAAACTTGATAAACGTAAAAAGGGGGGGGGGGGTGATGAAAGGAACTGAAGAAAGGCACAAATGTAATTCAATGATTAACACCTAGTTACTAATTTCAGGGTGGCCAAAATGTACGGATTTTTTATTTTGTAACCCTAAACTTGTACGGAATGTACGTATTGTACGGATTTTTTTCAAATTGTACGGATTTTTATCCTGGAAATACACCGGTTTTTTTTAATTTTCACTCATTTCAGCAAATTTTTCATGAAAATTTCAAAAAAAAATCTCGTCAAAATGAAGTTAGTTTAACTAGTTATACATCTAGCTATATGTATAGCTATCTGTCTATCCATCTGTATATCTATCTGCATGTCAGTTTGTCTATCTTTTTATCTATCTGTTTATATATCCTACCTGTCTCTCTGTTTATCTATATGTGTATGTGTCTCTGTTTCTCTGTCTATCTATCTATCTGTCTGTCTATTTATCTGTCTATCTATCTGTCTCTTTATCAGGTTTCTTCCGTTTATCTGTAAATCTTTTCATTTTTAGTTTAATATTAACTTTCTTTTAATTGAGTGTGCAACCCCTGTACCACGCTATTTTTAATTATATTAGATCCTAAATCTACACTCCACTCTTTCTAATTATAACTTAATTATTTGGTTGTTAAATGGCCTACACACCGATCTAAACAGTTTTAAAAATTAGAATCAACGCTCTTTAGTTCTCTAGCTCTCTGGTTCTCTGGTTCTCTGGTTCTCTGGTTCTCTGGTTCTCTGGATCTCTGGATCTCTAGTTCTCTATTATCTAGTTATCTAGTTCTCTGGTTCTCTGGTTCTATGATTCACTGTTTCTCTAGTTTTCTAGTTCTCTAGTTCTCTATTATCTAGTTCATTAGTTCTCTAGTTCTCTGGTTCTCTAGTTCTCTTGTTCTCTATTATCTAGTTCTCTAGTTCTCTAGTTCTCTTGTTCTCTATTATCTAGTTCTCTAGTTCTCTAGTTTTCTAGTTTTCTAGTTCTCTGGTTCTCTAGCTCTCTAGTTCTCTAGTTCTCTAGTTCTCTAGTTTTCTATTATCTAGTTCCCTAGTTTTATAGTTCTCTGGTTCTCTTGTTCTCTAGTTTTCTAGTTCTCTGGTTCTCTGGTTCGGTTCTATTGTTCTCTTGTTCTCTGGTTCTCTAGTTCTCTAGTTATCTAGTTCTCTAGTTCTCTAGTTCTTTAGTTCTTTAGTTCTCTAGTTCTCTAGTTCTCTAGGTCTCTAGTTCTCTAGTTCTCTAGCTCTCTAGTTCTCTAGTTATCTAGTTATCTAGTTATCTAGTTATCTAGTTATCTAGCTCTCTAGTTCTCTAGTTCTCTAGCTCTCAAGCTCTCTATTTCTCTAGTTCTCTAGTTATCTATTTCTCTAGTTCTAAGTTCTAAGTTCCTTTGTTCTCTTGTTCTCTAGCTCTCAAGTTCTCTAGTTCTCCAGCTCTCTAGTGTTAAATAGTAATGTTTAAGTTTTATATCTTTGCAACCTTATGTGGTAGACTTTTGTTATTATAAGCTGGGAATTCTGCCAGATTAATTAGGCTTCGTTTTAAAAACCAAAGGTTTTCAGGTTGTAAAGATAAATGGATTTTAAAATTGAGTTTCAGTTGAGTTTCTTCAGTTGATCTTATTTCTTCATTATTTCCGGGTTCTCATCCAAGCATTAAAATACCTACAGTAGTTTTATTGTTTATTGTTGAATAATCCTCAGGAACCCATGTAGAGTTATAATGAGGATGTCTTTGAAGACTTGGAGTTGCTGATGATGGTTCTGATAGACTTTGTATCAGCATCTCACAGATACTGTCTGAATTTGTCATAGCTTCTCTTGAAGATATTTACTGTAGTCGACTGTTTAACTTCTTGTGGGATAGAGTTCCATTTTCTTGGAATTCTCAAGCTGAAGAAATTGTTCCTGATACTGGTTCTGGAGTTTTGTATTTCCAAGTTCAAAGGGTCATTAGCCATTCTTGTTACTCTGTTGTGGTTGATCTTTCTAAACCATGTATTAGGGTTGACATCACAGAATCCATGAATTATTTTAAATGTCTGAATCATGTCGGCCCGCGCACGTCTTTCTTCAAGTGAAAGCAACTTCAACTCAATCAGTTTCTCCATATATGTTTTTCCGGTAAGTCCTGATATCATTTAAATGGTTTTATTTTTCTGAAATGTACGTATTGCAGGGATTTTTTTGGAAAATTGTACTGATTGTACGGATTTTTTTTCGAAAATTGTACGGATTGTACGGATTTCTTCTGAAAATGTACGGATTTTTGTAAGGATTTTTTCCAAAAAGGTTTTGCCACCCTGTAATTGTATGATGAACATGATTAGGAACAAAGAATATTAAAATAGCTCCGTTCCTGTGTTCAGGTTTCTATTTTTTAGGTTTCAGCTCAGGTGGTAAGCACTAGGTCAACGGAATACGTTCTTGAAGGTGAACTTGTTCCTATTCTTCCAGAACCATCCTCTCCTCCTCCTCCAATCTTTATTCTTCACAAGTAAGTAATTATACGATTGGACACCTTCAGTCTCCATTTAAACAGGGGTTGTAGTATAACAAGCTTCGAGTTCATATACATACTCGCAGTGCATAGTTTCCGTTGGATCCGCAAGATTATGGCTTACTGGATCCGGATCCGCAAAAATATGCGGCTCCACGGATCCGGATTCAAGGGGCAATATATCAACCAAAAACCGCAAAATAAAACATTTTTACTCTTAACTGAACCAGTGAAAAAGAGAGATTATTAAAATTTCCTGATTTCTGGATGTTTCATAAATTTTAACATAAAAATTAGACAACAAATTTGAAAATTCTACTTTGATAAAAAAAATTTCAGTAAGTCTTAAAGAAATGACCTGGATCCGGATCCATTTTTTTCCAGTACGGATCCGGATCCGAATCCGCATCAAAATTAAATGGATCCTAAGCACTGCATACTCGTATATAACTATATGTTTATGCTACAAATAATATCTTTTTCCCCCTTAAAGGGAGTGACCGGCTATGTAAGGTAGTTGAACTGAGTATACAGTGTTGTGGAAAGCTTCTTTCGGATTCATTTGAGACATATGAAACTTTTTAAAGATCTGTAAATCCTGAGTTTGAGCGCAAATTCGACGTAGGAGTTTTTCCTACTGTGGGGGTGGATACGTTTTCAGAATTAAATTTTTTAATTATTAAATAACGACGACATAAAATGTAAAAAAGTTCTACAATAAACTATAGACGTCATGTATAGGAACATGTTGAGAAAATGAAAATTTATCTTATCATCGAGAATAAGTAATCTTGTTCAATTATTAGTTTCTATTTTCTCATTATTCTAGTTCTCATTATTCACAAACATATTCTGTAGATTTTCTTGAAGAATTTTAAGTAATCTGCGAATAAATTCAAAGAAAATTAGAAATTCAATTTAATAATGAAAACGAAATAATCGATTTTAGCATTGATTTTTTGACAAATTTCTTTTGAGAAATATGTAACTAACCATCCAATTAGATTTTTAATTTATTTTTCTTTGTCGTTATTTAATAATTTAAAAAAAACTAATTCTGAAAACGTATCTACCCCCAAAGTAGGAGTTTTGAACGTCGAATTTGCGCTCAAATGAATCCGAAAGAAGTTTTGCATAACACTGCATACTCAGTTCTACTACCTTACATAGCCGGTCACTCCCTTTAAACAATTTTCTTTAGGTCTTTCTTAATTTACTTTTGGCCCTGGAAACAATATTTTAATATAAATTTGAACTAAGTCTGCTTAGTTAGATAGAAAATTGGGAGGGGGGGGGGGGTATC